CCTTCCCTCTAAGATCAGGGACGAGACAAAGATGCCCACTCTTTCCACTGCTGTTCAATATAGTACTGGAAGTACTTGCAGTAGTGGTTAGGCAAAAAAAAGATATTAAGGGCATTTAGGTAGGAAAGGAAGAAAGTGAGCTCTCACTATTCGCAGATGATATACTATACTTAGAGAACCCTAAAACCTCTACCAAGAAACTCCTAGAAACAATAGACTTGTATAGTAAAGTTGCAGGCTATAAAATCAATACCCAAAAGTTCATGGCTTTCCTATACGCAAATAGCAAGAGAGAAGAAAGTGACATGAAAAAAACAATCCCGTTCACAATTGTGCCCCAGAAAATCAAGTACCTACGAATCAGCTTAACTAAGGAAGTAAAGGACCTGTACAAAGAAAACTACAAAACGCAACTTCAGGAAATAAAGAGGACACAAGGAAATGGAAAAATATCCCCTGTTCATGCATCGGGAGAATTAACATTGTCAAAATGGCAATACTTCTCAAAGCACTGTACAAATTCAATGCAATCTCTATTAAGATACCCATGACATTCTTCAAAGAAATGGAGCAAACACTCCTGAAATTTATATGGAACAATAAGCCCCCACGAATAGCTAAAGCAATTCTTGGGAAAAAGAAAATGGGAGGAATCAACCTCCCTAACTTCAAACTCTACTACAAAGCAGTAATAATTAAAACAGCATGGTACTGGAACAAAGGCAGAGTTGCAGACCAATGGAACACGGCTGAATATACTGACATCTCCCTCCAAACATATGATCATCTAATCTTTGATAAGGGAGCAAGAAATGTGAAGTAGAGCAAGGAAAGCCTCTTTAACGAACTGTGCTGGCAAAACTGGACAGCTACATTCAAAAAAAGAGGGGGGGGGTCTCAGATCTTTGCCTAACACCATGTACAAAAGTCAGATCAAAATGGATTATAGACCTCCTTGGGGGTATGGTGCCACCAGCAGGTCAATCTGTACTGTGAGGCAAGTGCATCTGAGCAGCCTGATGGTGCCTTCAGACTTCCAGATATCCCAAAATTGCTGCTGTCCCTTTGGCCAGACCCCAAAAACTTGGGGCAAAGTTGACCCAGAAAGTAAACGGCCAAAAGTTAGGTATGTGGGAAACACCCACAAACCACCTCCGGCTCAGCTATATAATTGGACGCATGGCCTCTCTGGTTCCTGATTGAACTGCTTAATGGCCATGATCCCAGAGACTCAGAAACAAATCTCGAAACCCAGCGGCTTTTGGAGAAATGCGTCTGATCCTTGCAGTAGGTTACCAGTGCTGGGCGAACCCAGGTGGAAATAGGTTTCATGCCATGGCTTGTTCCCCCTGGCGGCCCAGTGGCCGCCATCCTTCAGAGGCCACTGGACAGTCAGGTTTGGGTCCCCAGTGACGAGACATTTTGGGCCTCACAGGATGGGGGTGGAGCCGATCCTGTCCTCCTCACCCCAACAAGACCCCAAGTCATCACCAACGAACGGCCTCTCTGGCTCCTGATCAAACTGCTTAACAGTTAAGATCCCAGAGACTCAGAAACAAATCTCGAAACCCAGTGGCTTTTGGCAGAAATGCGTCCGGACCCCACAGTACATTATTGTCGCTGGGCCATCCCAGGGAGGAAAGGGTGTTGTCACTCCACCTGCTCCCCCTTGGCGGCTCGGTGGCCATCATCCTCCAGAGGCCATTGGACAGTCAGGCTTGGGCTCGCAGTGACGAAACTTATTGGGCCTCATGGGATGGAGGGGAGGGGGGAGCCAGGCCTGTCCTCCCCACCCCAACGAGACCCCAAGTCATCACCCACGAACGACCTCTCTGGCTCCTGATCAAGCTGCTTAATGACCATGATCCCAGAGACTCAGAAACAAACCTTGAAACCAAGCGTCTTTTGGCAGAAATGCATCTGGACCACATAGTAGGTTACTGTCGCCAGGCCACCCCGGGAGGAAAGGGTGCTGTCCCTCTGCCTGCTTCCCCCAGGTGGCTCGGTGGCTGTCATCCTCCAGGGGCCATTGGACAGTCAGGCTTGGGCCCACAGTGATGAAACTTGTTGGGCCTCACGGGATGGGGGTGGAGCCGGGCCTGTCCTCCCCAACCCAACGAGACCCCAAGTCATTGCCCACGAACGGCCTCTCAGGATCCTGTTCAAGCTGCTCAATGGCCATCATCCCAGAGACTCAGGAGCAAATCTCGAAACCCAAAGGCTTTTGGCAGAAATCCCTCCAGATTTAAGTGCTAAAATTTCAGAATTTCAAAATCACAGGGCCCTACTGCAGCCACGCGACATCTGTTATGTTATTCATAACCAGCAATAGAAAACAAATTGTCTACTGTTGCCTTTTCAGCAGATCTGAGTGTTGGGGTAAAATCTCAAATAATGGTGGGTCTGGTGTCGAAATATTGAATGTGATCAAAGTAGAGAGAGAGTGATATCGAAATCATCTGCCCCACAGGCAGGGAAAGGGTTTGGGATTGGGGTATACTGGGGTTGTGGTTGGTGGAGAATGGGCACTGGTGAAGGTACGGGTGTTTTATTGTATGACCGCAACTTAGACCTGAAAGCTTTGTAGCTGCTCTCACGGTGATTCAATAAATAAAATTACAAAAAAATGAAAAAAAAAAAAAAAGTAAGGTGAAGTTCATGCCCAATTCAATCAGCTAATCAGTGGCTGAATAAATAGCAGTACTCCTACATTAAAAAAAAAGATGGATTATAGACCTCAACATCAGACCGGAATCCATAAGGTACATTGAAGACAAGGTTGGCAAAACCCTCCATGACATTGAAGCTAATGGTATCTTCAAAGATGTCATGCCACTGGCCAAGCAACTGAAAACTGAGATAGACAAATGGGACTATCTTAAACTAAGAAGCTTCTAGACCTCAAAAAAAAAAAAACAGTGACCAAAAATACAAAGATAGTGTACAGAATGGGAAAGGATATTCGCCCAATACTCATCCGACAAGGGGTTGATATCAAGGATATACAAAGTACTGGTAGAACTTCACAAGAAGAAAACATCCAACCCCATCAAAAAACGGGGCAATGAAATGAACAGAAACTTTCCAAAGAAGAAATCCGAATGGAAAAAAGGCACATGAGAAAATGCTCTACATCATTAATCATCAGGGAAATGCAGATCAGAACAATAATGAGATATCATCTCACACCACAGTGACTGGCCCACATCCAAAAGAAGAAAAGCAGCCGCACATGCAAGGGGAAAAGGCAGCTCAGATAGAGAAGGGAGCACCAAATAAAGGGTGTTTGTAGGATCTTCCCAGGATGGGAGATGCATGCTGGAAGTAGACAATAGACTGAACATGATTGCCACTCAATGCCTCTTTTGCAAACCACAGCACCCAAAAGGAGAGAGAGAACAAAAGGGAATGCCCTTCCACAGAGGAAGGGTGGGATGGGAGGGATGGGGGAGTGTGAGGGATACTGGGATCATTGGTGGTGGAGAATGGGCACTGGTGGAGGGATGAATGCTCGATCATTGTATAACAGAAACCCAAGCACAAAAATGTGTAAGTCTACAACTGTACCTCATGGTGTTTCACTAATAAAAATTAAATAATTAAAAAAAATACATGCTTTGGGGCTGGAGTGATAGCACAACGGGCAGGGTGTATGCCTTGCACACACCCAACCCGGGTTCGATTCCCAGCATCCCATAGGGTCCCCTGAGGAGCACCAGGAGTAAGTCCCGAGTGCATGAGCCAGGAGTAACTCCTGTGAAACGCCAGGTGTGACCCAAAAAGAAAAAAAAAAGAATACATGCTTTGGTAATCTTTTGCTTGTTGCTCTGCCCTTCCAAGTGAGTCTCACCTCAGGCTGCTATCACTGGGCCTATTCCTAAAGTAGGCAGAGCCCACCCCTACTGGGTGGGTCCTGGCTGCCTACACCAACCCCATCAGATTAAGGGCCTACATTGCAGTTCCTAAAGTATGCAGCCGCCAAAGTGGCTGAGTATAGATCTGCTCAGAAATGACTTGCTGTTCACAGTTCTTTCTGTCATCCTGTGAGGCAGAGCAGAGAGATGGCTTAATCCCTCAGCATATTCCAGGACGGGATACTACAAAGATTCACCTCAACACAAGAATACTAGAAAACCAATGGGCAACACGTGGAAATCCACAAACCTGAATGAGCAAAAACTTATCACCCAAAAACAGTATCGCATAAAACAAACACCAGCAAATCCTCAATTTCTTTAGAGACACTATGAGGAGGATGTCCAATGAGTTAAAAAAAAAAGATCACAGGTAGTCAGCAAAGAACAAGGAAGTATGAGAGCAGAAATGGAAAAACTACTGTCATCAGAAATGAACACGGCAGATGATACAGAAAGTTAATAGTTCTTACAAAAGAACAGCAGAAGCGGAACCAAGGATCAAGGCGCTCTAAGAGGAGGAGGCAATCTCTAGGATACGGTTACTGAAAGGTTATCAAGTTTATCACTTTACCTCCTTTTAGCATTCAGTTCTTGTCCAAAATGATTATTTCCAACTATCCCTGGATCACTGTCATAGTGGTCCTTTCACTGTCCTAATCGCATTTCCCCCATAACTTGTGACAAGCTTCTACCATGGATCAGTCCTCCTGGTCCTCATTTCTACTGTCTTGGTATTATTCTCATAATATGTATGTAGATAGATAGACATCCTGCAAATGAGTGCGACCATTCCATGTCCCTCTGTCCCTCTTTCCCTCTGCCAGAATTTAAAAAAAAATTTTTTTGTGGGGGTCTTATGTTTGTTTTTTGGGGGTCATACTTGGGGGTGCTCAGTGCTTACACCTGGCTCTGTGATCAGAAATTACCCCTGGTGATGCTTGGGGGACTATATGGAATGCTGGGGATTGAATACAGGTCAGTGTTGCATAAAGTAAGCACTCTACTAGCTGTGCAATCTCTCTAGTTCCTAAAAACAGATGTCATGAATGGCTTCAGGAAAGAAAGAGAACACAGTAATACAGAAAACCTAGATTTATTCGTTAAGTTCTTACAAAGACCAAACAGGTATCACCTGACGTACTTGGAGGACTTCACCTGCCTCCACTGTTCTATTCACACTTAAAAGCCTGAGACCTGCCCAAGACAGTCCAGCCCAGGCAAACCTGGTGTCAGTGGAGGGATGTGTGGCCAGGCAACACCCAGAGTCCAGCAAGAGGTGCGCAGCTGAGTCCCCCAGGCAAGCTAGTTGGTGAGCCACTCCTATGAAGGAAGAGAAGGGTTGCTGGGGAAACCTCTTCCTGGGTCAAAGGTGAAGGGACTCTTTATGCCTTAAGGAAGTATGTGTTAGATTCATCCTTTTTACCTTCCAATCTATCTACACCCCAACGCCTGCACTTTCACCTTAAAGTCTACTATGTTCCAGAAAATGCATTACTGAGGAGGCAGAGATTACAGGTCAACTCAGAGGGCATCTAGATACAGAATGCTCTGGGAAAATAATAAACTACAAATAACTGCTTAAGTTAATTCACCTTTGTTAATAAAGGCTATAGTTTCTTCTGCTAATGACAAGATGTTGTCTCAGCTCAGTCTGTCTCAAAAAATAACAGGTTCAGGAGAACACTAGAGAGAGAAAGACTTCCATCAGTTGCCATGCCACAGTAGAAGAGGCACCAAGTTCTCCCACAGTTATGAGCAGAATCTGGAAAACAAGAGGTAAATAGACCACAGTTACTCTAAGAATGGTTATGATATCAGTCTTTATAATAGTACAATCAGGTCATTATCACCCCATTTAATTGATATGGAACAGGGATTAAGAAAAATTATCTGCTCTGTCTAAAGACATTGCCAGAACATGAAAGAACTGTGTTCATGTGCCTTCCACTTGGACCATCCCAGGCATTAAGAGGTCTAGGTTCCATTATTCTGAAACTCCTAACAGCCGCACAGTTTAGCCATTCACTCCTATACAGGCAAAAGCAGGGGGCTGAGGCAATAGCACAATCCAAAGATTCCCCATTAAGAAAAGTAATGGAATATCAACATCTGAAACTAATACCGGAACATATTAGTGTTAGAATTTAGCAACATCAGGGCTGGAGGGTAGGGCTTTTGCCCTGCATGTGGCAGACCTGATTTGATTCCCAGCATCCCATATGGTCCCCCGAGCACCACCATGGGTCCTGAGTGCAGAGCCAGGAGTAATCCGAGAATCACCAGGTGTGAACCAAAAAGCAAAAAAAAAAAAAAAAAAAAAAGGGGGGGGGATTTAGCAACATCAACTCAGTAAGTTTAATTACAGAGGAAACATTGCTGATTTTAGATTGGTAACCAATGGAAAAGGAAATGTTGTGGAAATAAGGAAAGTGATATAAATCACGTAACTCTAATAGAATTATTTTTCTGATATTTCACTGACAGGAGTGACAGTAGAAAGCCATTCATAGTGTGAACAGCAATGTTCTATTTGCATTTTGAAAGGAAATGGAACTTAGCATATGAAGTAATTCACTACCTACTTGAGTGACAGTGGTAGAAACCTCATTGAAATACATCCAACTCATTAACTATGAGCTTCAATAAAATTAAGGACTTGGGGCTGGAATACAGTGGGTAAGGTGCTTGCACTGTGTGCAGCTAACACAGATTTAATCCCCAGCATCCCATATGGTCCCCCACTACTGCCAAGAGTAATTCCTCAGTGCAGAGCCCGGAGTTAACCCTGAGCATGCCAACTGTGGCCCCAAGGCAAACAAACAAAAAGATTAAGCTCAATTAAAAGTTTAAGCTCAATTTGGATTACTTTAACTTCCTAAATCGATTGAAATGCAGCAATCTATGCTTTGTTTTCTGATAAATGTGTTAAGATTTCAAACATGGCGAGGAGAAACAGAGCAGCTCGCGACATGGTTAAGGAAGCCAACTCTCCCATTCTAAGAGAAGAGGTGCCAAGGCTCTATGGGCACTCTCCTCAATCCACGAAGATCGTGTCTCACTCTTTGACCTACTTTCAGTCTGATACAAGACTTGACCTGTAAAATGGTCAATGAATATTAAACTAATCCCCCTTATTTAGATACAATGAATTCTTTTTTGTTTTTGTTTTCGTGGGACACGCCTGGCAATGCTCAGGGGTTACTCTGGCAGTGCTCGGGAGACATGGGATGTCAGGGATCGAACCCGGGTCGGATGCATGCAAGGCAAATGCCCTACCCGCTGTACTACTGCTCTGGCCCCCACCTTGATTTCTTAAAGGGAAAAAAATCAGAAAGAGAAACAGATGACAACTGGCCACCCCTGGCGGTGCTCAGCTGCTACTCCTGACTGGGGCCCATCTGCAGTATTATGGGGATGGAGCCAGGTCTCCTACATGTAAGGCATGTACTCTAGCTAGCTGAGCCACCCCTCTGGTGGGCCCTTGGTGTTGGTTTTTGAGCCAAGTCTGGCAAAGTTTGGGGAACCATTTGCTGTCAGGGATCAAACACTGGGCTCCTGCATGCAAAGCATATGCTTGAGTTCTTTGAGCATCTCCTCAGCCCAGTAACTAACACCTTTCTCAAACTGCTCGTAAGAGTTCCCCTTAACTGTAAAAATTAAAATGACTTCAACAGATGCTTATGTTCAGGGACAAAGGAGAAAAGAAAATGACTCACCTCAAAGCACCAAGAATCAATCTCAATGGTCAACATCTGCATCTTCAAACTGTCCAGCAACAACAGGGGCAGCATCTACCTCCATCCCATCTGAAAAAAAGACAAAGAAAGCAGCTGAGCAAATACCCTGAGCACTTCTAAGAAAAGATTCCACTTCCATCTTCAGAGGAAGACAGTGCCCTACGCTGGGAAAAAGACAGTTACTTCTTTGTTTTTTTTGTGTCACACCCAGCGATGCACAGAAGTCACTCCTGACTCTGCACTCAGGAATTACCCATGGCAGTGCTCAGGGGACCATATGGGATGCTGGGAATCAAACCCAGGTCAGCAGCCTGCAAGGCAAATGCCCTACCCTCTGTGCTATGGCTACTGCCCAAGACTGTTCTTTTTGGAAAATTAACATAGCAAAAAGCAAACTGATAATAGAAAATGTCAGTGAATTTCACAAGGCTGAGGGGACTCTGGGGGCCATAAGGAATGCCTGGGATCAAACCTGGGTGAGCCATATGCTAAGCGAGTGCCTTCCCCACTGTACTATCTCTATTGGCCTCTAGTTCATACCTTTTTTTTTTTTTCCCTTTTTCTTTTTGGATCACACCCAGAGATGGATCGGGGTTACTCCCGGCTCATGCACTCAGGAATTACTCCTGGCGGTGCTCAGGGGACCATATGGGATGTTGGGAATTGAACCCAGGTTGGCCAAGTGCAAGGCAAACGCCCTACCCGCTGTGCTATCGGTCCAGCCCCTCTAGTCCATACTTTTAACATTATTTTTGTAAATTATGAACGTCAACACTGATATTTCAGTTGCTATAACTGTTCAGTTACAGGTATTCAGTGTTTTGTGTATATCCTTTTCTTTCCTTTTTGTGTGTATGGGGGGGTGGGTGTTGATTTGGTGAGCAATCACCCAGTAAATGTTCAGCGGCCACTCCAAGGTACTCAGGGACCATATATGAGTCAGAGATCCAAATGGGGCCAGAGATATGCAAGGCAAGAACGTTAATCTCTGTCCTTTGGACTACCTCTCTGGCCCAACATTTTTGTCTTTGAAGCTATGGTCCCTGGAAGGGTTCTTACTGGGCTAGGGAGATGATTCAGAAGCTGAGTGTAGGCTTGTGGTCTCTCAAGCACTGCCAGGAATGGTCCAACACGGTCACGGTCACGGTCCTCCCATTGTTCATCAATTTGCTTGAGTGGGCCCAGTAACGTCTCCATCATGAGACTTGTTGTTACTATGTTTGACATATCGAATACGTCACGGGTAGCTTGCCAGGCTCTGCCGTTGTGGGCGAAATACTCTCGGTAGCTTGCTGGGCTCTCCGAGAGGGGTGGAGGAATTGGAACTCGGGTCGGCCATGTTGGCTGCTTGTAAGGCAAACGCCCTACCACTGTGCTATCGCTCCAGCCCACCCCCCTCAAACTAAAGCACACTTACAAAGATTCTGTAATTAAGGAGAAATGTCAATCTAAAGCAGTGGCGAGGTTGGGTAGGTGGGAAGGTGGAGGGCTTGTGAGTACAATGGCCAGTACTACCCACACTCTGAGTCCAGGGGTCAAGAGCATCTGGTCTCCAGCAACCCCTAGCCAGCAACACAAACAATCTGTGACCCTGGGGCATTACAGCAACAACAAAGGGAAGGGAAAAGAAAGGTTCCCACAAAAGGGGCAAGTGTGTAGGGAAGACAGTAAAGAACACGCTTTATATGCATGAGACCGGAAACGGTCAAGGGAAAAGGCAGGGAGGACAGTCCAGGGGGAGATAGCTAAAGGGAGTTGGAAGTTATGTAATAATTTCCAATCTATGCAACTACATTCAACACCCAGCACTAAAAAGGGTGAAAAGGTGGGGGCAGAAATGACCCTGAGAGTCCCCAGGTGCAGAATAGCTGCAGTGGTGGTCCCCAGTAAGGCAGGTCCTGAACAGTACCACATTCTCAGGTCCAAGCACTGACACACCTGTTCTGGTGAGTTTTACGCGGGTCGCCCGAAGTCCCTCCCACAAAAAGGCAGAGTTCAGTTGTAGAACAAATGCCTTGGCATGCAACACCCTGATTTTGACCCCCAGCATGGCCAATTTTTTTTTTAATAACATTTTAAATTCTTGAAGCTAGCAGTCTGCTAGAGCACTCGGCATCATCTAAGCCACCTCACCCTAAAGCCCATGTTACACCGTCACTGTGAAACACTGCAAAGAAGGTGCTCTCCTTGCATGTGTAGGCCTGCGTTCAATCCCCAGGACTGCATAAGGTCCCTGAGCACTGCAGGTGTGAAAATGCACCCTCACTCTCACCCCTAAAATTACATTCTGAAGTAAAGCACAATTTTTTGTAGCTTGGAACAAAATTTTAAAAGGAAACTATGTAAAGGCTTGCCCTCTTAAGCCCATCTTCTCCCCTGAACCTGTATTCTGCTTTCTCTCCCTTCATATCTAAGTAAATTATGTTCAATAAAAATTATCTTGTGGGGGGCTGAAGGTTAGGAACTAGTGGAGATGGTGGCGGCTGAGCTAGTCGCAGGGTCACCTTGCTTTGCGGGCGATTCACATCCACTTATCTCAACACTCGCCCAGCAGCCAGGGAATCAGAAACACTATATGGAACTGAAGGCCAATTCCAACCTGCCCATTTTAATCCGATGTGCAACCCAAGCTGTGGGCTTGCCATTCCTTTGGTCAAGGAAAGTAAATCTCGCTGCACAACTTCAGAGCAGATCAGGTTAACAACTCCCTGAAGTAGGTGCTAGGTGGCAAAGTCTGCAGCCTCCAGGAGGATAAAAAGCACAGCCCCACAGCCTTTCTTCTGGAGCGACTATGGCATAGAAAAAGAAATTTATCTTCCCGTTCTTTATAAGGCTCGTGCCCTAAGAGGATGGCTCAGGGTAAACAAAGACAAAAAACTTGCTTCATACACACAGAGTTATGTAACAGTTCCTAATGTATGTAACTCTACGTTTGCTTCCTACACTACAGTTGATTTTGAGATTTTCCTTGTGTTTCCAGAACATATACGACTCTTTAGGGATTACAGCTTCCTTGATCCTAAAGCCTTCTTGTGCTTGAGACCTGACACTCACCTTCATAATCCCGTAAGGAATCTTCTGTCCGTACCCCAGCCATGTTGTACTGGCTACTCGTGGCCTGGGAAAGCATCCCTTCTAACCGCTCCAGGGTGGCTTGGCCTTCCGCTGTTAGGTGGGACAATCCTTCTTCATAGGTATAAAATGTAGGGATGTCCCCCTGACCTTGTTCTAAACAAATAAAGAACTTTTAATCTATCATGAAGCAAACAGGAGAAAATGAATAGGCAATGATTTTTTTTTTTTGGCAATGATTTCTGACTGAAGCAAAGATACAATAAAATGGTCTTCCTGGAAAATACTTTTCGGCTTTTTTTGTTCGTTTTAGAGCTGAATTAGTTCTTTCTTACTCCTGACTCTGCTCTCAGAGATCACTGCTGGCAAGGAGCTGGGGACCAAACCTGGGTCGCTGCCTGCAAGGCAAACACCCTATCTGCTGTCTATCACTCCAGTCCCCCCGGAAAATACTTTTCAAAATACAGACACATAAATTCAGGCTACGTGGTGGACAAATATGCAAAGAAAATGTCATTATCTTTTAAGGTAAAGAGCAAATACCTCATGATGTCTCACTAATAAAAAAAAAAAAAGTAAACAGCAAATCCCAAAGAATCAAATGTCCAGGGAACTAAAAAAGGTGGTGTGTGTTCTTAAAGTCTGGGAGTCCTAAATTATTCCTAAATGATAATTTTACTGATGAGTATAAATTTTCCCCATATTAAAAATACAATGTATTCCTTTTTTAAGAATCAGAAATCCTAGGGGCCAGTGTAATAGTGGACACACTGAGGAAACCACGCAATGTAAAATAAATAAAGCACAGTTCTTGAAAGAAGAAAAGTATAAAGTTTGTGAGCTGCTTGAGGGACCATTTTAAAGATGGGAGATGATGCAGGTTTCAAGTAGTGGAAGGCTTGTTCTCTGGAGACATTGACTCAAACACTCCTGATAACCTCTTTTCCTGGCTACAACTTTCTTCTAAATTTTTTTTAAAAAGTTTGTCACCATGAGATTAGAAAGTTATTCATGATTGGGTTTTAGGTCTACCTCCTAAAATTGACTTCACCAGTGCCCACTTTCCTCCAATTGCCCTCTCTGCCCCCATTTCCCCACCAGTCTGCATCTCTATGAGGGGCACTTTTGATAGTATGTTTCTAAATTGTAGATTACAGTCCTGCCACTTACAGGGTTTCAGATATGACTCTTGACCACCTTTCTTCACCACCTCCTCCTCCTGGCTGAACAGCCTTCCACCGTATTGGCTGGCCCTTCCCAGTCCTTTCAGGTGACATGTTTCCAACTGAAAGTCAGTTCCCATGTTCTTTTTCATTGTCTTTGGGCACGTTATCACCCATTATGAGTGGGTGAATTATATCCCACATATATGAGTTCATTCTGTGTCATTCTCTACCTCTGAAGAAATTCACTCAACATGATAGGCTCCAGATCCCTCCATGTAGGGGCATACCTCACAGATCTATCTTTTTTATTTATTTTTGCTTTTTGGGTCACACCCGGCGATGCTCAGGGGTTACTCCTGGCTCATGTACTTAGGAATTACTCCTGGCGGTGCTTGGGGGACCATATGTGATGCTGGAAATCGAACCCGGGTTGGCCATGTTGGCTGCGTGCAAGGCAAACGCCCTACCCGCTGTGCTATCGCTCCAGCCCCTAGATTCATCTTTTTTAATGGCTGAGTACTACTCCATTGTACCAGAGCTTATCCAGTCATCTATTCCTGGACACATGGGTTGTTTCCAGTGAATGAGAGTCCCTTTCTCACTGCATGATGCTAGCAATGATTGTTCTTGTTCTTTTTGATTTGTGTTAGTCTGTGGCATGATATCTCATTGCTTTTTTGATTTGCATCACCCTGGAGACTAGTGATGCAGAGTATTTGCCTTTTGGATATCTGTATTTCCTTTCTGAGGAAGTTTCTGTTCATCTCTTCAAGATAGGTAGGATGCTTGTCTCTTATAAAGTTCTACTATGTATATTTGGATCAATATACCTCGTATCATATGAGTGTTGAATAAAGTTTCTCCCATTCTGTGGGTCATTTTTATATTTTAATTATCATGTTTTCAGATATGAAACATATCACCACCTCCATTTTGCTGATAACATCATTTTAATAACACCCAAACATTAGCCAAGCAGCAAATGCTGGTCGACTTCGACTATGAGTGTGGAAGGGTCGGACTGCAGCTGAATCTCACGAAGACAATGTTCATGAGAAACAGACTTGTTCCTGACATTCTAATCGCTCTCAATGGAAAGAACATCTCCGAATGCAGCAGTTGTGTGTAACTAGGTAGAGAACTCAAATGACAAACGACCTGGCACCTGAGTTGCGAAGGAGGAAGAGAGCGGCATGGAATGCCTTCAAGACTGTCGGAAAAATAGCTAAGAGGACGAAGAACTTCCGGCTCCAGGCATATCTCTTCAACTCTACCATTCTTCCTGCATTAATATATGCCTCAGAGACTTGGCCCTACGAAAACAGGATGACAACACTATTCCAAAGAGGAATCGAAAGAGCTATGCTTGGAGTATCACGCTTCACTCAAGAGAGAGAAGGAATCCGGAGTTCTGACCTCCGTTGACGAACGAGAATCAGGGACGCTGTCTCGTTTGCCAAGGTGTTGAAAATCAGATGGGCTGGACACGTAATGCGATTTGGAGACGAACACTGGACTAGAGCTGTTACCAAATGGATTCCACATGACATCAAAAGAATGCATGGTCACCCACCTACGAGATGGTCAGACTTCTTCGTCAAGACCCTGAACGAATGGTTTGAAGCTCTTTGTGTTCCTGAAGCGAGCAGACGCCATTGGGCTACACTAGCACACAACAGGGATGAATGGAGACATTACTGGCACCCGCTCGAGCAAATAAATGAGTAACAGGATGTCAAGTGATCAAGAAGTGATGTTGGGCTGGAGGGATAGCACAGCAGGTAGGGCATTTGCCTTGCATGTGGCGGACCCACGTTAGATTCCCACAATCCCATATAGTCCCTGAGCACCGCCAGGAGCACTTCCTGAGTGCAGAGCCAGGAGTAACCCCTATGCATCGCCGGGTGTGACCCCCCCCCCCCCCAAAAAAAGTGATATTTTCAAATACAAAAGCTTAAATGTAGTCCCATTTATTTCTTTGCTTCTATTCGCTTGGAAAGTGGTATTTCATTCTACCTTTAGCTTCCATGGTGCATGGTGTTACAGGTCTGAGTTCAGTTTTATGGATGCAGCTGACCAGTTTTCCCAGCAGCATTTGTTCAAGAAGCTTTCTCTGCTACACTTTAGTTTCTCGCTCCTTTATTGAATATTAACTGACTATATGTCTGAGGATCTGTCTCAGGGTATTCAGTCTATTTCACTGATCTGAGGGTCTGTCTTTATTGCATTACCATGCTGGTAGTAGAGTTTGAAGTTGAGGAAAGTAGTGCTTTCTAGTACAGAGTTGGTAGTAGAGTTTGAAGTTGGGGAAAGTAGCACCTCTTATGTTCTTTTCCCTACAGATTGATTTAGCTATTCTGGGAGTTTATTGTTTCATACAAATTTCATGAGTGTTAATTTATTTCTTTGAAAAATGTCATGGGGGGCTGGAGAAATAGCACAGTGGGTAGGGCACCTGCCTTTTACGCGGCCGACCCGGGTTCGATTCCCAACATTCCATATGGTCCCCCAAGTACAGCCAGGAGTAATTCCTGAGTGAAGAGCCAGGAGTAACCCCTGTGAATTGCCGGGTGTGACCCAAAAAGTGGAAAAAAAAAAAAGAAAAATGTCATGGGTATCCTTATGGGGACTGAGGTAAATCTATACAATATTTTGGGGAGTATTGCCATTCTGATATTAATCCTCAATAATTAATAAGCAGGGGATGTATTTCTATTTCCTTGTGTCCTCTTTTATTTCTTGAAGTAGTATTTTGCAGTTTTCTTTGTACAGGTCCTTCACCTTTTCAGGTAAGCTGACTCCAAGGTGCTTGGCTTTCTGAGATACAACTGTGAACAAGATATATGTATATATATATTTTTACTATCTCTTGCTTCTCCTTTATTATTTATATAAAAGAGAGCCATGGACTTTTGCATATTAATTTTGTAGCCTGATACTTTACTATATAAACCTATTGTTTCTAGGAACTTCTTTGTAGTCTGCAGGATTTTCTAAGTATAATATCATCATTCGCAAATACTGAGAGCATTACTTCTTCCTTTCGTATCTGGATGTCCTTGTCATCTTTTTCTCACCTAATAGTTATAGCAAGTACTTCCAGTACTATATTAAATAGAAATGGCGAGAGTGGGCAACTTCTTGTGCCTGGTCTTAGAGATGAAGCTTATTTTTTCCCCCACTAAGCATGTATGTCGTGAGCTTCTGGTAAATGGCACTATTTTGAGGTAAATTCTTTCAATTCCCATTTTTTTCAGAGTTTTTATCATGAATGGGCACTGGGTCTTGTCAAATGCTTTCTGTGTCTACTGAAATGATCCAAGAATTTTTCTTTTATTGATGTGGTATATTACATTGACTTGCATGTCAATTAAACCTTTCTTGCATCCCTGGGATGAATCCCCCTTGGTCATGGTGTATGAGCTTTTTGATGAGTTTTCGGATTATATTTGTTAGTAATTTTTGAGGATTTTTGCATCTGTGTTCATAAGGGATAGTGGCCTTTAGTTCTCTCTCCTCCTTCCGTCCCTCGCTCTCTCTCTCTTCTCTCTCTTTCTCTCCCCCCCGCCCCCGTTTGGCTATCAGAATGTTTGCTTAATAGAAACTATTAGGAATCATTTGTTTCTTCAATTTCCTGGAAGAGTCTGTAAAGGACTGGTAGTAGGTCCTCAAAGGTTTAAAAGAACTAACTAGCAAATCCATCTGGGCCTGGGATTATTTTGGATAAGACTTTTGATTACCATTTCAATTTTCTCAATTGGGATAAGGTATGTTTCTAGAGCTACAACTTTCTCTCTTTCATTTATCCTGTTTATTTCTGCCCCCAATAATCTTTTACCCTCAAATCTGGAAAACCTACAAATTTATTAATTTGAATCAGGTGTAAGCTGTGCCTTTTACTTTTACATGGATACTTGTTAAAGATAAAGGAACCAGAAGCCCCTACCCCTAGTACAAATAAAATTTTAAAAATGAAACACGAATACATATACTCAGAAAATCTACGTTAGAGCCCAGAGATAGTACCGTGGGTAAGGCATTTGCCTTGCCAAATGGCTGATCGGGTTCAATCCCTAGCATTCTCTATCCCCCTGGATATCTCCAGGAGTGATCCCTGGGTGCAGAGTGAAGAGTCAGCCTTGAGCAGTCAGTTTGTGACCCCCACCCCACTCCACTTCACTAACCGTGTGCTTCCACATCATATTCTTCTCCATCATAATCATCTGAATCTTCATCCTCAGGATCTGGATGCAAAGCCTGGCATTCACACATTGCAGTGAACATGGCCTCCACTAAACAAAAAAAATTAAACTAGTGAAAATTTATTTTTTCATTACATGCACAATACAAATTTAATGTCCATGCACAATACAAATTTAACAAAACAACTATCAAAGCAAATAAACACTGGGCAGAAAGCAGTTACAGAACCTGTTAAGTTCCAAGTAGTGTCAATCTAGAAACTGCTTCATGGAAATAAACAAGTCATAAAAAAAAAAAATCCTGTTCGTTGTCAATTGTTGAGACTACTTCTGCAAAGAGTACATGTGCTGGTCCAGGAACCCTGGGTTCAGTCCCCAGCATTGCATGGTTCCCTGAGCACTTCCCCAACTGCAAGGCGAGGCCCCAAAGGAGAAAAAAAAGAAAAGGAGTCCTGATATAAGTAAAACCTGTTTCACCTGACAGGTACTTTCCTTCCAGCAATCTCTGAATTACCTACTTAGGAATTGCCAGAACTGGTCTGCCTTTATCAGTAAATAGCATCAAGTAATATAAAATAAACAGATTCCTACATTCACAAAACAACCAAGTAACAATGTCTATACTCTCACTACATTCACAATTTTTCATATGAACAGCACAATAATACTGCATAACCTAAAATGATGGGGGGAGGGGAGGCAAAAGACTAGAACAATAAAGTTAAGTGTGTTGATGGGAGTAGGGGCGGGGTGGGGGAGGGGAGAGAAGTTGGGGGCATGGCAGGGAGAGATGCTTGGTACATACACAATACAGAATCCAAAGATTACATTTAGTCTAAGGATGCAACTCAATGGTTGAGTACATGCTTTGCATGTATAAGAACTTGCATTAAATCCCCAATATTTCCCTCTTCCCACATAGAATGAATTATGAGAAACTTACATGCTGATTTATCACTAGGCACAAATCTAAATTCAGCAATAGGCTCATCATCATCACTGTCTTCCTCTTCTTCATCAGAAACAGATGCTTTTACTTCCTCTAGAATGGAGTAAAAACATTTTTCAGTTAATGCTTAAAAAAAAAAAACAAAAAACAGAGTTTGCTAAAGGCCATCAGGGCCAGCTGGTTACCGAACACTCAAACAAAGCCTAGTGCCTGGTCTAGTCACACTATACCTTCTCAAGCCATAAGCCCAGAGTCAGGGGTGAAGAATCTGAATCTCAGTGAACTCTACAGTGGTTCAACTGCCATTTGTCTACAACTGATGTGAGTCATCAACTATTTAACAAAGTGAGAAAATCAAGACCATAAAGAGTTAGCCGACCCCCAAAAGTAGACAAAACAACAAAAAAAGAAACAAAAACTACCTACAATGGTCAACAAGATGAAAATGTAGAACCGTAATAATAGTACAGAGGGTAGGGCGCTTGCCTTACACACGGCTGAACACAATGTTTAATCCTCAGCATACCATATAGTGCTCCAAGCTTTGCCATGAATGATTCCTGAATGTATAGCCAGAAGTAACCCCTGAGCATCGCCAGGTGTGGGCCAAAAACAAAAAATAATTTTAAAGCCGTATACATGTATTTCCCATGAGTTAAGTATTTTGTACAGAAAGAAATTTGTACACCGAATCATATTTTCTAACAGAAACAAGTATTGACAATCAGCCCCCTCCCCACTCAAAAAAAAAAAACAAAACCAAGAGGATCTGCGCTGGAGATATTTCAACAGGTAGGATGCTTGCTTGCTTTGTGCACAGCCAACCCAGGCTCAATCTCCTGCATTCCATAAGGTTCCCTGAGCGCCACCAGGTGTAATTCTTGAGTGCAGAGCCAGGAGTAAGCATCTCCAAGTGTGACCCCAAAACAAAAACAGGGGCTGGAGTGATAGTTCAGTGGGTAGGACGTTTGCCTTGCATGTGGCCAACCCAGGTTCGATTCCCAGTATCCCATATAATGCCCTGAGCACTGCCAGGAGTAATTCCTGAGTGCATGAGCCAGGAGTAACTCCTGTGCATCGCCAGGTGTGACCCAAAAAGCAAAAAAACAAAAACAAAAACAACAGAAAGAAAATCTATGTACAATAACCTAATCACATTGTTTTACAGACAGCAGAACACAAAAAACCTGTGATTTCTACATCATAATGGACTTCAAAATATAAGTGAATGAAAAGTCTAGCAGCAGAATTTAAAAACCATTTTTACTAGAATTTACATACAAACAAAAACACTGCATCATGTTTAGTTATATGCAGTTCTTAAAACAATCTTGGGATGGCTGGATCACCTATCAGCTCAGTTTTATAGACTCATGACTAAATCTTTTTCTTTTTTAAATTTTTTTAATTTAGTGAATCACCGTGCAATAGTTATAGACTTACAAATTTTCGTGATTACATTTCAAACAAACAATGTTTGAGTACCCATCCCTACACCAGTGCCCTTTCTCCACCACAAATGTTCCCAGTGTCCCTCCCGCCACCCCCACTCCTTTCCTCATTCTGCCTCATTCCCTCTTATTCTCTTTCTCCTTTTGGGTGTTACGGTTTGCAATATAGGCACTAAGCAGCCATCATGTTTGATCCATGTCCTGACTAAATCTTAAGAGAGCAACTAGGTGCAAAAACTCAAGTACATCCACTCCTCCACCTGAATTAGATAGGACATTAACACAGAAGCTAACTAAGCTCAATCAACAAAAATATTAACAGAACTAACAGCTTAATAAAGTCCTTAGTAAGGACTTAATGTCCCCATGGTGAGATACAATAATTTTCACAAATTTTCTTTTACTAAAGTAAGGTAAAGGCCCTCCCGTTGATCGTCGATTTGCTCGAGCGGGCCCAGTAACATCTCCATTGGAGACTTTGTTGTTACTGTGTCTATAATTCCACTAGCCATTTAGTATAGCAAGCAATTAAAAATAAATTATTTTTGGCCCGCAAAGGGGCAGGCTGTTTTTTTTTTGCTTTTTGGGTCATACCCGGCAGTGCTCAGGGGTTACTCCTGGCTCTGTACCCAGGAATTACTCCTGGCGGTGCTCAGGGGACCATATGGGATGCTGGGAATCAAACCCGGGTCGGCTGCGTGCAAGGCAAATACCCTACCCGCTGTGCTATCCAGCTGTGCTCCAGCCCCGGACAAAATTTTTTAAGAAATCTTGGGAGCTGGAGAGATAGTACAGCAGGTAAAGCATTTCCATTGTATGCACAAGACCCAAGTTTGATACCTGACACCACCTTGGTCCCCCAAATATTACCAGGAGTAAATCCTGAGCATCACCAGGTGTGGTCCACAAACCAAAAAATTCAAAACACATTAAAATTTTAACTAAATAAAAATCTAAAATACCAACTAGGAAGAGGGTATCTCAGCATGATGTTTAATTCCAAAGAATGAAAACAGGGAATGGAATAGGATTATGAGAATTCCAACAAATTATGTTGTTTTATTTCTTCAAAAGCTTAGTAACTGTTGGAACTTATGCTAGATATTAAATAGTACAAAACTTGCCTTTTACACAGCCATTCTTGGTTTGATCCCTGGCACTCCATAATGTCCCTGAGCTCAGCAGGAATGATCCCTGAGCACTGTCAGATGTGGCCCCCAAAATTAATAGCACTGCACTGTAGCACTGTCCTCTTGTTGTTCATTGACTTGTAATGTCTCCACTGTGAGATGTAGTTACTGTTTTTGGCATCTCGAACATGACACGGGTAGCTTCCCAGGCTCTGCCTTGCAGGCAGTATACTTTCAGTAGCTTGCTGGGCTCTCTGTGAGGGACAGAGGAATCGAACCTGGGTCAGCTGTGTGCAAGGCGAATGCCCTACCAGCTGTGCTACTGCTCCAGCCCCGGATGTAGTTTATTTTTTTTTTTGTTTTCGTTTTTGGGCCACACCGTACGGTGCTCAGGTGTTACTCGTGGCTCTACACTTAGGAGTTACTTCTGGTGGTGCTCAGGGGACCATCTGGGATTTTGGGGATTGAATGTCCTACATGTTGTACTATTGCTCTGGCCCTCCAGGATGGAACTGAGCATCAAAACACATCCTTCCTGGGGACTGGAGCGATAGTTCAGCGGGTAGGGCATTTATCCTCCACGTGGCTGACCCGGGTTCGATTCCCAGCATCCCATATGGTCGACCTGCTACAATTAAAGACCTGATCTTTAATGCTGTTATTCTAAGAATGAGGGGTCAGGGAGATTGTTCAAAGGGTATGGTGCAATAAACCTCAATAAATCGACTGAGGCCTTAAAACCAAAAAAAAAAAAAAAAAAAAAAAAAGAAAAAGAAAAAGAAAAATCACCACCAACTAAACTAAAGACATCATTAAGCAGACAATGTATACTGCATTTTTTGGTTCTAAATTTATATTTGATTCTCTTTAAACATCTTTGTTGAGATTTTTAGAATAATTAAAATAATCTAACGCACTCAATGGGTCTGGAGCGATAGCACAGCGGTAGGGCGTTTGCCTTGCACACAGTCAACATGGCCGACCCGAGTTCGATCCCTCCACCCCTCTCAGAGAGCCCGGCAAGCTGCCGAGAGTATCTCGCCCGCACGGCAGGGCCTGGCAAGCTCCCCGTGACGTATTCGATACGCCAGACACAGTAACAACAAAGTCTCCAATGGAGACGTTACTGGGCCCGCTCGAGTAAATCGATGATCAACGGGAGGGCCTCGAGCAACGCACTCAATAATAAGCTTAAGTTGAGAGAGCAAGCCAATGAGAAGACAAAAAAAGGCGGAGCTGGAAAATCAGAAAGCAAATGCTGGGGAAATATATCCAAGCATGTGTATGTAACTTACGACAAAAGTAGATTCCAAATGCAAAGAACTGAGAACTGCTAAAATAAATATGACCCAGGAAGATTCTTCTTTCTATAAAACTATGTCAGTCAGAAATAATTCACCACAATCTCATCAACTTCAAGAAAACATTCATTTAGGGCAAATGCTTGAAATACCCAAACCTACTCAATCCTTTCCTAGATTTGGACTCTAGGCAGTTACATTTTTAATAACCTTGCCAAGATTTTTTCAAACGTTCAGCCTACAATTTCTGTTAAGTACTGGAGCTAGAGTGCTAGTATAGTGGATGGGGCTCTTGTCTTACATGCAGCTGACTCAGGTTCTATGTCTGGCATCACATACAAGCCCCACCAGGAGTGATTCCTGAGCACAGAGACAGGAGTAAGAACTGAGCACAGGTGGGTGTGGAAAATTCCCTCCCAAGTCCCCAGACTTGACCCCACAAAAAGAACTGAAAACGACTATGATCCTGTAATTCTGGATGAAACTAAGCTCAATGAGAATTACATGCCTGCCAAGCTAATGACAGTCTCACTTTTTTTCTTACACTAGCTTTATTCAAAAACATCTTTACCTTCTCAGTCTAGAATGATAGTATGGCTCTTGCACATGGTGGACCCAGGTTCAATCCCTGGCATCCCATATGATCCCCCAAGTATGCCAGAAGCAGACCAGCAGCAAGTCCTGGAAGGCACCACAGCGCTGGAGATTTCTCTGGGTCCCATATCAAGCTGATTTCACCTGGGCATCCCAGATGGTGCAGGTGCAATCTTCCAGATGGAATCCTGGTGACCAAGCAAGGCCTGTTAGGTACCCGAAAGTCAGACTGCAGCCATGATAGGCCGCAGCTAACAAAGTTTTTGACTAGGCCTAAGTTCCCGTTTCCCAGAAACTGAACTTTTAATTTCTGGTAAAGAACTGCTAAAACATCTGACTGGTCATGAGGGGTCACTATGTCCATTTTTTGGAACAACCAGAAACTATTATCAAATGTTGACTAATTGCTGACAACTGTTGCTTGGTCACTGTTATCATAGTGCTTGCTCTACCTTGGAACCTATATAAACTGCTTGCACTTGGACGTTGGGGTCGCTATCAAGAGACCACTTTGTGGGTGATAGTTGACCCCAGTTAACTGGAATAAAACTCCTTTGCACTTGCATGACTGTCTCTCTCTGACTGAGTTGTTCATGCCCAGTCATTCGTGACCCGAAAACACGGGTAAAATAGGCCCAGGTATGCAGGTTCCAGAACTAAGTCTCGAAGCTGTGTGGCAGCAGTGGAGTCAGGCAGTCCCTCCTGGGCTCCCTGCCTGCTCTTGATGCTGGATGTAATGCCCACAACCCGTTTCCAGGAGCCATCTTAACGCACCAACAGCCAGGTCCAGAAACTCCCAATTGAATCCCAAAATGGATTAGCTCCCTACAGAGATGTCTCTGGAACCCAACCATTTACAGTCTTAGAATTCCAGAAGTGTATGAACAATTTTGCAGCCTCTCATTATACTGAAAATGAGCAACGGACAATAAATGATCTAGTGTCTGCCCTGGCAGGCAGGCTTGAATGGTGGTGGGGAAATTCGAGCAAAATATAATACCTCAAAGTAACGAGAGAGTATCGGGGAAATTGTCTGCCATGAAGGCAGGGTGAGGACTGGGATCGGGGAGGGGAATATACTGGGGACATTGGTGGTGGAAAATTTGCACTGGTTGGGGGATGGGTGTTCGATCATTGGATGGCTCAAACTCAAACATGAAAGCTTTGTAACTATATCTCACGGTGATTCAATAAAATAAAATAAAGCAGTGATCCCTCAGTGCAGAGCCAGAAGTCAGCCCTGAGCACGGACATGTGTGACTATCTTCACCCACTGCCAACGCTCTAACACCTATGAACATTTCACAGCAGCATTTGGATGTGACTGTCTTAGTATGCTTCTAAAACTTTTGCATTGCTACGAATAAATGACTATGCTATTTGGTTGTCTGTTTGGAGGCCACAACCAGCAGTGCTATTTTCTCCTGGCAAAAGTGTACTATTTCTCTGGACCCTGAATGAAACATATAACACCACTGTTTCTAAAATCTCAGTGATGGAAAGTTAACTTTGTACCCTACACCTCCTCCATTAGCAGTCTAACTACAATCCAAAGTCAATAGCTTTTATTTTCCCTTTATTTTTCTAATTTTCTATCTTTCTAATTTTTAGATATTTAATAGAGTCACTTAAGAAAAATCTTTTCATTTCCTCTCATTTTTTGTTTTCACTAAATTTTTATGATTTTTGACATCATCTCCAGCAACAGAATATGGGAATCCTTGTAACCCACAGCTTCTTGATGGCACAAGAGACCCCTGAAGCCTGACTAGGCTGTGAGGCTGCCCTGTGCTGGGAGGGCATATCTTCTGTACCCTGGTCCCTGCTGGTAGAGGGGCTCCTCCTTCCTGCTTTGCAGCTGTGGCATATAGATGCAGACAGCCAACGTGGGAGGAAGGCAGCAGCAAAGGCTGAGGAGAACTACTTGAATAAGACAAAAACATACCTAAGTTGCAGTCACTTCCAGAGCCCTGTTATTTCTGTTCTAAACTCTTGGAAGCACAAACCAGATAGATCCAAGCTTCTAAGGGTGCCAGATAAAAATGATTTTCAAAAAGACAGAGAATTAGGGTCAAAGAGTAGTGCACTTAGATGCATGCTGCCACCCTAGGTTCAATTCCTGACACCCCAGATGGTCTCCCAAGCTCTGCCAGGAGTGATCACTGAGCACAGAGACAGGAGTAAGCCCTGAGTACCATTTTGTTGTACAAAAACAAAACAGCTAATAATGAAAAAACTATTAAAACCACTAGTCCATAGTAACTGAATCACTGATTTGTAAGAAATTTATAAAGTTGGGGTCAAAACAATAGTACAGCAAGAAGGGCACTTGCCTTACATGCAGACACCCCGGGTTCAATACCCAGCACTCCAGATGGTCCCAAGTCCACCAGGAATGATTCCTGAGTCCAAAACCCAGAGTAAACCCTGAATACTATTTGGTGTGGCCCAAAACCAAAACAACTGCCCCCCCACCCCAAAAAACTACAGATTACTTTCATCTTGAAGAAATGGGGTGGGGAGGGGTATTATCTACTCTAATAAATGAAAATAAGGCATTTGTGTGTGATATGTAACAATGAAAGGTGTGTGTGTGTGTGTGTGTGTGTGTCCGTCCTGTTGAAAGGAGTGAGGTTCAAAACGAATGTATGCGTCTCAGTCTGGATCTCCCCCAGGTCTTTTTAAAGTAAAGCGTGCAGGCATGCTGTTTGGGGAGAGGGGGGAGAGCACCCCCTGTGTACAAGTAGAGAACTAGAGTATTTTCCTAGTCTGGAATCCTTTTTTAAAAAAATTTAAGTTTAAACACAAGATTGAGTACATTGTACCTACCTCCAAATTTGGCATTCACCATGACATACAAATGCTCTCTTGGATAGGCATTGAGGTCCCTGGATACTGCATGCAAACTAATGTTGGGGTACTCCAATGAGAACCCTAATCCAGAGCCATCTAACCAAGACAGGCGGCTGAAAAACAAGTTTTAAGTAATTTTCAAAAAAATATGTTAAAACATAACTTAATACCCTACCATTTAAACAAAATTCAAGAGTACTGCTTAGAAACACTACCCAAAACAGAAATTCAACAGCAGGATCTTAATCTTTTCTTTTCTTTTTTTTTTACCGTGGCCACATCAAGAGTACTCATTGGTTACACAGTGCAACTTCACTTTTGGTGCTGGGTCTGCCTCGACTATTAGCACTAAAACCCTGGTTTTAGTACTAATGTTTATATATTTATTTATTCCAAAGCATTCCCTCTACACCTCTGAGCTATTCAAATCCCTGGAACTGAATTCCTTCAAGACCAATTCTGAAAAAAGAAACAAAAGACTTCAGTGTTTTCTTCCAATTAAAATTCCCAACAGGGCCAGAGCGATAGCACAGTGGGGAGGACATCTGCCTTGTACTCAGCGGCCCAGGTTCAATCCCCAGTATGGTCCCCCGAGCACTGCCAGGAATAAATCTTGAGCGCAAGGCAGAAGTAACCCCTGAGCATCGCTGGGTGTTACAAAGGAAAAAAACAATTCCCACTGGCTAGCGAAATAGAAGTAGTAGAGCTGACTGGGTGCTCCCCTTGCACTGGGTTGGGCTGGGTTCAATCCTTGGCGCCTGATATGGTTCTGAGCACTGCCAGGAGAGTTTCCTGTGCAGGCCCCGAACACCACCGGGGGTGGCCCCAAACAAAAACATGTCCAACAACTCTGAAATACAAGTTTTCTCAAGTCACATGCGTGTATTCTCTTTTTTTTGGTTTTGTTTTCCTTTCTCTTTTTGTGAGTCCAGAGTCTCATGCATACAGAGTAAGAGATTTACCACCGAGCCTCATCCCTGGCCCCCTTCCGGTGCGTGGCGGGATTCAGCGCCCATCGGACTCTTTCAGGTTCTATGGGCCAGATGGCCCAACGCAGAGCACGGCTCCCCGGGGTCCTCCCGCCAACCCCCTACTCTCTTGGACCCTGAGCGACCACCTGTGAACGGTCGGGGAAAGGCCCGCGCTGCGAAGGGCGCACTGGGCGTGGGATGCACAGCCCCTCAGGCGCGCCGAGGGCAGAGTACTAAGAACCAGGGACACGGCCGCGGGTGGAGAGTCCTCCCCAGGGCCGCCCGGGAACCTCCACACGGCCGCAGGTGGACAGTCCTCCCCCCGGCCGCGCTCGGAGCGTGCCCAGCGCCGCCGCGCCCCGCGCCCACCTCTCGGCAATGTAGAGCGTGCCGGTGCCCAGCCCCTGACCGTCCAGCACGGCCTCCGTATCCGCCTGCTGCCGCCGCACGCCGTCCGCCGGCCCGGGCGGCGGGAAGGTCCTGAGGAGGCTCATGGCGCCCAGGCTCGCAGCTGCCGCACACTCGCGGGCCCCGCGGCGCGACCGGAAGTCGCGCAGATTCCCCGGAAGAGCGACTCGCCGGCCCCGGAACAGCCGTTTCGTCCACCATAGACACGAGCCCTTCTAGGCTCCAGGCAGCTCCGTCCACCATAGACACGGGACCTTCTAGGCACCCGGTGGGCGGCCTCTTCCCCTACTTCCTTATCGCGGCTCTCTTTCCGAGGCGGGGCGAGGCCCGGTGCCGCTTTCGGCCCCGACCGTGGAGGGTAGGAAGCACCGAGTAAGGGATGCCACTTCTAAGAAGAGAGGAAACACCCGGGGTCCCCGCAGCACGGCTAAGGGGGGAGTGGAAGGATGTAGCGCCAGATGGTTATTCTACAATGAATCGAATCTGGTCGTTTTAATCTCACCCACCCCAAAAGCGCAGATGACGGGATGACAGGGTGGGAAGTAGCAGCCAATGGGTGAAGGCCCAGCGGGCACAGACTCGAATGCAGGAGAAGGCGCCGCGCAGAGCCCGGCGAGGCCTCGCCCGGGAGGCCCCCACGTGCACGCTGCCTCCGGGAAGCCAGGGCGCCGGGTGTCAGGGAGCCTGGGGCACAGCGTGGAGAGGTCGGGCAAGGGGACATGGTGACAATTGAGCAGACCCGCAGATGAGGAATGTCGAAAGTGAGGACGGGGCAAGGTCAAAACCAGGTCCTCATATATTGGGAGCAGCCAGGATCCTGACCCTTGGGGAACGTGGGTCCATCTGTTTGACCTGTATAATCAACTTATCTTCTGAAGCAACGGAGTTTTGTTTACAAATCTTTCCTACAATTCTCAAGAACCCACTAGCACAGGCCACTCTTATCCAAGTCCTCTACAGCTGCCTGAGCCCCACTGGGTCACAACTCACTTGGCAGCTTGGTCTTGGCCTACTCTGGTGCTCAGCACCTGACCGTGGAACTCCTAGGCAAGAGCCAACTGCATCTATTGGGTAAAAAAACCCCTTGGTTAGACACCATAAGTGCCACCCACAGTCATGCAGACTTAGAAGCAAAGCAGAGGGACTGTACAGCTGAGGAGGAGCTGTTGGTGCTCAGGTGCTAGCTCTGCTCAAGTGTCACCCCCAGTGGTGCAAAGCATGGTATTCCAGTTCAGGCCTTGTTATTATTCCCCCTCCCCCTTTCTCCTCATCTTTCTTCTCTCCCTCCTCATTCCCTTTCCTCCTTCCCTCCCACTTCTCCTCCCCCCCTCCATTTTTTTTGGTTCTTTTTTTTGGGGGGGGGGGTGGGGGGGAGCTATACCAGAGAAACCATAAGGCATGTTCAGAGGCATGGCCTGGTTCCATCCCTCGCACTGCATGAAAGCCCCTAGGCCTGGAGGTCCCTGGGCACTGCCCAGATGCTGGGAGTCTGTAACAGGACAGGGCCTGAGTAGCCATAGCCTTGGGCCTCACATTGACCCGCTAGCCTAGCTATACTATGATAGCTGCTCCCACACAAGTCCCATGAGGTAGCCATCAAGCTGCACCTGAAATGCATTTGCTCTGCATGGCATGGGAGGTGATCCCCACCACCCAATTAATTGGAGTGCCATGGACTCAGGCTGGAGTGAGAAATTGCTCTTGGTAGGAAAAGTCTGTCCTAAATTAAGATTTTAAAGGCTTTTTTTTTAAAGACCTCCATATTCCAGTAGGCAGGGGTCACACCCACCAACTGGCCCCCTGGCACCGTGTAATCCCATCAACGGCCAAGACCCAGAGACTATAAAACCCAGCTACGGAAGTGCGCGGCTGTGAATGCCGCGCGACATCTTATTATCTCATTCTTACTTTGGACAGACTGGCAGGCTACCGAATGTAACCTGCCCACATGGCAGAGTCTGGCAAATTCCCCGTGGCATACCCAATATGCCAAATATCAGTAACAATGATGGGTCTCGTTCTCCTAACCCCAAAAGAGCCTTGAATATGGCACTTTTAAAAAAATCTCAGGGCTAGGACGAAGGAGACGTTACTGGGCCCTGCTCGAGGAAATCGATGAACAACAGGATGGTTGTGATTGTCGTGAAGGCTTTTAGTATCTATTGCCTTTCCCTCACAGAAAAGAATTTCAGGAAGAGATGAGTAGTGAAACAAAACAAGTTTATTTGGAGATTATGAAGAAGAAGAAGAGCAGAGAGAGCTCAGAGTACACATCTCAAGTGGAGATGTGGGCAACCCCCCCCCCCCCCCCCAGAATGCAGGGTGTTCTGCTGCTGCCTTTGCAAAGTTGATTTTCTCCTAATCTCCCCCCACTGCCATGTCACAACACTTTGTTCTTGGGGCAGCTTCTCTGGGTCTGTACTAGTGTCTGAGTTTTTTTGTTTTGTTTTGGCCACACCTGGAAATATTCAGGGTTACTCCTGACTCTGCACTCAGGAATTATTCCTAGCAGTAATTACTATGGGATGCCGGGGATGAACCCAGATCAGCCACATGCAAAGCAAGGCACTGTATGGTCTCTCTGGACCCATCATTTAGTCTTATCAGACCTCAATTCTTGTGTACACAAAGTGGGTCCAGTACCAAATGCTTTTAGCTGCTTTAGAGCTAGTGACAGTGCAACTTCTTCAAATCCCATCTTGGACTTGTTACATCCCGAAAACTCACGGTCAGCACTGCCCCACCCCTTACCCCCCAGACCTTTTATTTATGTGCCTGCTTCAAAATGACCTTTATTATGTTATAATTTTTGGTTTTTGGGCCAAAAAACAAACTTGGAAGTGCTCAGGGGTCACTTCTCGTAGGACTTGGGGGCCCCTATATGGTGCTAGGGATAGAATCAGGCATGCCTTCATGCAAGGCAAGCAGCTTCCTCCCTCTGCTATCTCTTTGGCCTGATATAAAATTACTTGGGAGGGAGGGGCTACACCAGTACTGGTTCTGCTCTGCACTCAGGCTGGGAGTTACCATATGTGGTGCTGTGGAATGAACCCAGGTCAGATGCATGCAAGCACCCTACCCACTGTGTTATCTCTCTAGCCCCCACAGTAATATTTATCCAGGACCTCACCTTTAAAAAAAAATCCAGTTCCTAGGACTAGAGAGATAGTACAGGGATAGAACACTTGCCTTGCACACAACCAACCTGGAACTGATTCCTGGCACCACATACAGGCCATGGCGCACTGCCAGGAGTGATCGCTGAGCACCAATTCCCTACTAGATATCCTATAAAATGGAACTCTCACCTTTGTTGTGGGCCCAGTTTCTGGAGCAAGAGCGCTCTTGGGTTCACCAGCATAATGAAAACACAGTAGTTGGGCCAGAGTGATAGTACAGTAGGTAGAGCACTTGCCATGAACACTGTTGACCTGGGTGTGACCCCCCCAGGATCTCATGTGCTCCCCAGGAGTTATTCCTGAGTGCAGAGTCAGGGGTAAGCCTTGAGCTGGGTGTGGCCAGAAAACAAAAACAAAGAACCCTAAATCCTTCCATTTCTCAGAGCATGCCGTTTTTTTGCTGGTTCACAGTGAGCATTTCTTCATCAATTTCAGGTGTACAACACAGTATTTGTATACATTGTGCTGTCTTGAGGGTTTTGCTATTCCTGGCACTTGGTTGTTAGGTGATCCCTGGTGGTGCTGGGAGGGCTATGGGGAGCAAATGTGATGACAGGGATTGAACTGGGTTAGTGGGTTGCAAGGTCAGAGCCTTACCCTTGTGGGATCTCTGAGCAGTGATCACTAAAAGATGTCTAGTTAACTTTTGTCACCACGTGATGAGTTATCTTTTTTTTGATAATGGGGAGCAAACTCAGAATCTGAACAGTCATATCCCCTGCCTAAAAACTGTTGTAAAACTGTTTTTTAACCCTCCCACACCTCCCTTGCTGCTGATATTGTCACACACACACCCAGCCTTTAGCTGTGCTGACCTCTGGGAGATGCTCCTCAATGGTGGTGCCCCCTGAGGTCTGCACAGTGCTCTGGGCGCCACCTAGTATACAGTATATAGCCTTCAGTGTGCACAATTTTTATTTTTTTTCTTTTTTGGGGGGGGAGGGGTCCTCCTATGTGTCGCACAGGGGGCCACTCCAGGTGATACTCAGTCAAAGGCCAGGGGGTCAATGTGAGGCCCAAACGCTAAGGCTACTCAGGCCATGTGCTGTCACGGACCCCTGGTCATCCAGGCAGTGTGCTCAGGGACCTCCAAGCACGGGAGTCAGGCAGTGCGGGGTGGAACTAGGTTATGCCTGCGTTCTTTCCTCAGTTCTTCACACATCTTTTGGCGGTGGTAGACACTGGGGATCACACCCATTTGCTGTGTAGTGAGGGGAACACAGACAGGAGAGCTGCCAGGAGCATGCCCTACGCATGTGGTGATACTGGGCACAAACCCGTGACCACACATTTGCACATGCTTGTCAGTTTGTGTATATGTATGTCTGTATAGAATATATATATGGTGATAGGGTGGGGGGCTTGGGTCACCCCAGCAGTGCTAAGGGTTTAGTCCTGGCTCTGTGCTCTGGTGATGGGGCTCAGAGATCAAAACCAGGTCAGCAGCAAGCAAGGCAAGCATTTTACCCACTGTCCTCTCTGGCCCCTGTGTATGTGTGTATATGTGTATATATGCGTGTGGTGGTGTGTGTGTGGGTACTTGTATGGGTGTGTGTACTTGTGAGTGCATGTCTACATTTTCTCTTCCCATCCATCCATCAATGGTTGTTTCCATGTCTTGACTATTGTGAATGCTACTGTGATGTAGATAGGGTTCATGCAATCTTTCTGAATCACTGTCAATTATCTCTTTGGACAAACATCATACAGAAGTGGCACTACAAAACCAAACTGCAGTTCTATATGCAACTTTTCAAAAATCTTTTGGGCCACACCCAGTGGTGCTCAGGTCTTACTCCTGAAAACTAGATACAATTTCTATCAAAATTCCAGTTGCCTGATACCTCAGAAATAGCTTATCAGGGGCCAAAGGAGAGCGGGTAGGGTGCTTGCCTTGTACATAGCCAACCCGGGTTCAATCCCCAGCATTCCAGATGGTCTCCCAAGTACTTCCAGGAGTAATT